ACAGCTGGTGGCTGTCACTACGGTCATCAACTACAAAAAGATGGTAGGCTAAGACACGCTTGGGGCTTGCCTCCAGCTAGCGCAGACAGAGTATGTAAGCAACATACCTAGGAATTCCTGCACCGCTCGCCTACCGATATCTCCTGCGGCACCAGCGACGAAGACGTGAAGGCCCTCAAGGCCTAGAAATGATGGAGGCATGGTAAGCCTGATGGTCCTTGGAATTTTTTCTGATAGAGTTTTCAGTGTATCTCTTTTAACTAGAGACTCAGTCCGCCTTCAGTAGCTCGTAAGCTATACCACCCGGTTAGTCTACAGATCCGGGCATACTGTTTGCAGGGATAAGGTAGTAGCGACTAAGAGTATAAGTGCTTACAAGGGAGAAGTTATGCCGCATGCAGAATGTCGAACGGTCCGCTTCCTTCAATGCAACCAGAATCGATCCTTCTTGATTCTGGATGAGGTCAACTCAACGCTAATCTGTAAAGAAATTGTCAATCGGCATGCAAAGGAAGCGTATAGATGAAGCTGGAGGGGAAGAGGCAGCCCCGCATCACGTGCCAGTCATGCCGAATCGGGACAAGGTAGTACATGACAACACCGCATCACTAATAGGAATGCTGCCAATGCTGATAACGTGCGTCTCCTTAATATCGGCGCCCAACACATGATTCCTTCTAGACCCCAATCCAGTGGCGCTGGTACTGTGCAATATATTGTGCTTGATTAGTGGTTGGGTCTCGAAAGTCGACGGATGGCAGAATTTTGCAGAGCACGCTGGTTAGTGCACACTGCTATCACGACAGTAGATTAGACCAATCCACACCAAGAAAACGGCGTCTGCTCCTGAAAAGCGCTCTAGGCTTCATTCGCTTTAGGATAAGGAGTTGGTACCAGTTAGAGTAATCAAGCCCACTTTCAGCACGGTTGCTCTCCGCCATGTTGTCCACGGGAGAAATTCGGGGTGCAGTGGTCGGAATTGTTCAAATCCGTGAACAAAGTTCAGCGGCGTCTCCCATGTCTCGGACGAAGCATCCTCTAACACAGAATGATTCGGAAGGAACGCTAATCGACTGACTCAAATCACTGAGATCATGAAGCTAACAAGAGGACTCGTCATCTTTCCCTTCAACATACGCTAAATCAGTCAGTGAGGGATTCAGCAGTTCGCACCGAGGTGATCAGCATGCGTTGAACTAAAGCCACGTGGATCTGCAGTCCCCGTACAAAGACGAACTGCAGAGGTTGTACCGCGAATCTGCGGTCTCGCGTGGTGTAATATTTCAATTAAGATTTACCACACAGACTCAAATGCTATATGAGTAGGTGTGGGCTTGTGCGACCAGACGCTGAAACCCCATGTGTTATGAAAGATAGTGTATATTGAATATCCCAGGCACAGCTGTATTATTGGGACCGTAGCATCACCCATAATGCAGGGTGCTCGGAAATTTGCAAAGGCAGCAGAGCATTGGGGACCGTGCTGGCATGTTGCATGAACTGTCGCAAGATGCTGAGAATCTATAAGCTTTCGGATAAGAAACTATCTTAGGACCGAACGCTTAGCGGGACAAGACTGCTCATTCTAGTGCGTGATTTTCTCCTTTAGCGGTGGCCCTCTTTCCCAAGTGAAAGTCTGGTACTCCGAAGGCCTATGGGACAAATGGGCGAAAGTGACATTTGATCAACTATAGTCAAGCCCGGGAGACATTCCAATAGTGCAAACGGCAGACTTTGAGAGGTAAGGCACGGGCGTAAGCGGTCCACACCAATCTGCTATTCTGCTGTCACCGAAACTGAGACGAGATCTGGCACAGCCTTGCCTAGTTGCTTCTGTATACCTAAAAAAAGAGGAAAAGCGAGACAACGGTGTTGTTTTGAGGGACAATCTTAGTCTCACTTCGACCTGAAAAGACCGAGTGTGTAGTCTGTAGTATAGTGGCAAACCAGCGCCACACTGCGATTCTAACCCTTCGAATGACGGGTTTTGTTGAAGTTCTTCAAATCCCGCAGCGCTCGCGGTTCGTGCCACTGGGCTCAGGCTTGGAGATGCTGGCCAGTGGTGCGAATGTCGATCACTGGGGTAGTAGTCGGCTGCGGCTACTGTCGCTGTACCTTACAGCGCAAAGCATGCACTCGATTCGTGGACAGCTTTGCTACTCAGCCATGCCTTCCGTACGGCGTACGCACCTGAGCAAGTTATTTCCGTCCACGCTGAACAGACCCGTGGGCCGAATGATGGAAGTTCGGCATCGGGGGAATCTAAACTTAAGATCATTCCCTAAAGTGGTTGCTGCTGGGTGGGGGATGGGGAGTGGTCCCATGGACCACATGCCAAATAGTCGCGCAGATAGGTGTTTGGGTACAGCCAATCTGAGCAAAGAACATTCCTACCCGACTGAGACGCTCTTTGATGATTGTTGGTACTTATTTTGGTTGGACGACTGATGATTATGATGGGCTGGTGAGGTTTGCGGAAGATAGTGGGTTCCCAGTCTTGCCAAAGCGGCCGCGGTAGAAGTTAAGGTTACTACCTAGTAGCAGACCAAGTCAGCACGAAGTTTATCAGGCCCCGGCTTCTTCGGACGGCACCTGGCCCCTTGGCCGTAGGAGTTCTTTAACTTCAGAGCGTGAACTAAGTTCCTGTCAGCCAGCCTCTGCTGCTCTTGGCACGGACACCAATGTTAAAGTTCGCAGTTGTCAAAAAGAGAAGCGTAGACGAGTGATACCTGATCTTTTACTAGATGCAGTATCGCCTGATAACCAGTCTTAGTGAGACCATGGAATGGATGCGGTCAAACCAGCCCCCGTACCAGACGTCATAGTCTCAATGGAGAGCACCTTTGAAGTTTGGAGATGCAGAAGCCAGCATGGTGATCGCCAGAGAGGAGAGAGAGGGACTGGAAACTGAAAGATAATCAGGCACATCATTGGGGAGGAGAGGAGACAGGTGATTTTTGTTATAGGATTTCCATTATTACATAGCAAGTCCGCCAAAGGAAGCATATATTACGGTAACTCGCACGTAAACCCCGAAGTGGCCTGTCACGGGACGATCAGGTCACGGGTCGGCAGGCTACGGATGAGTCCCAGGGAAGACGATCTTCTGGAAAACATTTGCCAAACGCGGCCTGAAATTGGAACCGGTTTACATGAACGTATAGTTCATTGTCTATCTATTATTATATCACAATAAGTTTTTGTCTATCCTCGTCGCTAAGCGCCAAACATCCCCCCCTCTATCTTCCGAACCATAGTCGTAGTGGATGCCTTCTCGGCATCTTGGTCCCCCACATGCCGATGATCAGTGGAAATATGGACGTTAAGCGATGGGGTGCCGAGCAAGTTATGTACAATAGTCAAGCGGACACCGTTATCAGATCAGTCCGCTAGTGGGACCTGAGGTGCCGCGAAAGGAAAGAAAGTTGATCAAGAGAGTGTTGTCCAAATAGAGAAAAAGGAAAAAAGGTTTCTATACAAGCGTTGAGAAAATGAATTCACGGAGAAAGGAAGTAAGTATCATGAAACAATCGTGTCCTTCATGGTTCTGGGAGTCGGCCTTCTGAAGTTTGGGCCTTCTTGGACTCCCAATACTCAGGTGGTCGTGTCTCACGCTCCACCGTCACCGTCACATCCTGTCGGATCCTGAGGGCCCGTTCGGAGCCGTCCTCGCTGGGCTCGCGATCTTCGCTCGGCTCCAGGCTGACTTCCGAAATAGTTTTCTGGGGCGCAACAATGGTGCTTTGGTTGTAGTTGTGCATGCTGTATTCGCCAGATTGCAGTTGACTGTGGGGACCGTAGTGACGAAATGCAGATCCCTTACTTGTCCAGGGACCAGTCCGATACCGTTCGGTGGTTCCTCGTCGTGACCCTCCGGTCCAACTCTTGAGCGCGGGGAACACATCGCGAAGGAGAGACCAAACAAGGGGTAGGTTGGTGACCAGGATAGCTACTGTTGCTTCCCGAAAATACCAGTTCATGTAAACATAAGAGATGAGAGAAGGAACGAGACAATAGAGTTTGTTCAGGAGGGCTGCAACAATGACGAAGATTCCCATGCCGAATAGAATCAAGAGAATCAACTTCTGCTTAAGAGGCACTCGAACTTGAACCATAAGTGGGAGGCCAATGATAAGCATGAAGACGTCCGCAGATATTGATAGACATCCTTGAACAATTTCATAGTACTGATATGTCGAGCATTGGTCTGTATAGAAATTAGTGACTGGCAAATATATCTCGCGGAATTTATCTCTTCGACTGACCGTAGGGTGTAGGCACGGCCCAGTAATTCGATAAAGGCCGGCAAATTAGGAATAAAGACAATTCATTGCCAACGAAGCCAATGGCGACATAGACAGCGAGATAAGTCACCCATTTTCGTTGGCGTAATCCTTCGCTGGTAAGAATATTGTTAGACTGGAGGATAGTGCTTGCTAGGTAGAGAATCATACGTGATGCGGGCATATATAACCAACATGCATGCCTTCATGGCATAGATAGCAAGGAGGAAGGAATGCTCCGATACAAAGACCCATTTGCTTCCCCTGACACGATCCGCCTTGATGGCAGGCGTTAAGTGCTTTATATCATTCTCGTCCATCAGGTTTGATCCGCCTCCGGAGACGACTTGATTGAGAGCGACACATAATAGGGTATACCAGACGACCGCGAATAGCATCAAGTAATCATCTGCTTGAAGGTTCTGGTAACCTAATCGACGTATTCGTGCTGCGCTATACAAAGGGAGGCAGTCAGTAAGAAAGTCTTAGATGCACGATCATCCGCAGAAGATCTCTCTGGGTCAAGGGAGCTTACAATCGTAGGATGGCCCCCAATACTCCCACGCTGTATAGTGCCCAAGTCTCTTTTGCGAAGCTCGTCGCAAAGGCAGAGTCTAGGCTCGCCATCTCACTTGAGTACAGCCTAGAGTAATGCGATAAGGCCGGTCAATTGAAATCACCTGAGGGAGGGGGTACATATGCAGGGGCCAAAAGGGACATGGGCCGATATAAAAGGATTCACGCACATATTGCAATAATAAGGTTCTAGGGCCGGCACATTGGCCGAGGGATGATGGGTCCGAGCCAATCAATCAGCGATCCAGATTTAGGTATAAGCTGTCCACATAGTAGCGATAGGGGAGACAGGGTAGAGTAGATGAAAGAATCCAGGAACGATCCTTGACGATGCGTGTGCATCGGTGGATGGGCGAATAGTATGGACTCGAGCCGGGGCCGGGTTTATCAACCAGACTAGTACCAAAGAGTTAACCCCCTCTGAGGACAGGAAGCAGCGCATGGGGCACAGCAGCAACACCTTCAGGGTTAGAACGGACAGTGCCCGAATGGAAGTAAAGTAAGTCAGACAGGCGGATCCGTAGTGGCCCAAGTCGGCTGCGGGGCTTCTAGCTAGACTCCCACTACTTCCACTACTACTAGTACTGCTTACTGCTTGCCTCTGGATGGGTTGTCTCCACGACGCCAAACTAGCAGGGATTAACGTGGGGATCCAAGGTTCCTTGCTAGGAAGTAGGAATATTGAATTCGAGCTGACCAAAAGTATACCATGGACACTTGCCGACTTCCATCCATTCCCATTTGTCCGGTACCTGGGCCTTACCAAGCATTGTTGCTTCCTTTCGGGGAGAGAAGGTATTATTGGAGTGACAGTACTAGTACTATGCTCACGAGGATGTAATTATTTTCCCTTTTTCCCCCAACTCCTAGCCGACTGTTTAGCAGCCACAGCCGAAATAACTGCACAGACGGTGAGGAGTGGCCAATATGAGGGGCATCTTTTGCCGCCTAAATCATGGAGCAATAAGTTGTTCGCAGGTACGAAATGGAGCGATCGACCATCGAACCCCACTTCCACTGCTGCATACGTATACTGTGCGACTCCTCTGTGTCTCTGTGTGTATGCTGATAGGTGTTTAGGTATTATGAAGTATGAATTTAGCACAATATACTCGCTCGTGGACATAACCCACCCGATATCAAGTGCGACAGGAAACGGGGGAAATTTGAGCGAAGCTAATTATACCGTTGACCACGCCTAAGTACTAGACTACCAAAGAACGTGCAATTTAATTCATAAAGACTCAAATTCCACCAAACGGACACAATACAGTTGTGTCACCCACCAGCCTGCGTGTATTTATTTGATTTTCTGCGGTGGGCTCCCGCTAGTGGCAACTTAATTTGGATCAAGGGCCCACTTAGCCGTGAACTTAAATGTGTTCCCCCCCCCCCCCCTTTCCCCCCTTCCTCCACAATTCAGCCAGTCAGCAAAGACAGCGAGCCTGTGCTTCGATATTGCCAGCCGGCCAGCTTTCTTGGCTCTTTGCACATACCAAGACGGAAGGGACGGTTCCATGCCGGGAAAAGAATTTAAGCATTCAGTTAGCTGAAGCCTATGAGAGAAAAGAGAAGGCTCGGCCCCTCCTACAGAGTACAATTATTTCAATTTGTGGTACTACAGTTCGTCATGTAGAAAACTAGAAATTTTCATCCTGCTGCCTTGGTCGTGTGAGCCGATCTCGAGCAGATCCTCCTTTAACCCGCCAGGGTGTCATAGGGCCATGGGCCCATCCATCTCCCCCGTGGAGTAGGCGATCGGTTATACCCTTTCATAAATCTCAAACCACTGGCTGGTGGGTTGAGCCGTATTTTCTTAATTAATTTTTCATTTAGCCACTCACGAATAATCTCTGCGGCGAATTATTTGTGTTTTCTACGTCAACATCTGCGGCTTTAGCTGCATCATGGACCCGGCAGGATCGGGCTAGCCTCGGGAAAACCAGGGCTATTAACGATGGATGCAAGCGATACCATCTCGTGGTGGATTAACCGAGGAGTGGTACGCAATTAGGTGTTACACTGGGAGCTTGTTGTTTGAGTTGTTGCTACTGCTGCTGCCTCGAGCTAATCAATGCTACCTTAGTCGGGGGTCAGTTAGTACTTTTAGTAACCATCTGGACGATCCAAGTGTCCCTGAATCTTTTGAGTTCGCTCTATTTTATGGCATGATCCTACTACTTTGTTTGTGCACAATATATATGCGAAAATTTACACTCTGCATATCAAGAAGATTATGCATTCGCAGGTCATCCCACCCTGCAAGGTACCCCGCGCTGCGTGCTGCAGGCTTACTTTCTATCTAGTCTACCCATCTAGATCCCTCTGAAACTCGGATAGTGACACCACAACCCAAGGAACCCCTTAACGATTAAACTTCAGCTCAGTATAATATGCAATATGGCTACTCCCAATTCATTCTATCAATACACTCCCTCGTATTTTCGTTTTAAAACCCCCCCTACACTTTCGGAAACTGCCCGTGAATGACCTCAATATGCTCTAACAATAAATGTAGCAGCTCTCGGAAGCCCCGAAGGAAGGCAACCTAGTTTCAGACAAACCATGCCTATATGCGACATCACCACCGACTTGGCTGCAGGGTGGTGTTTAGACTGAATCCTTCGATCCAATCAAGGCGATGGACACGATCGATTACCAGATCGGTGAACCTAGACGATTCTTAACTAGCAGGGATGTACTATATTAAACTTTGGGGGGTTACGCCAGTCAGGGTGAAGGATTTCGACTGGGCTCAGTTTTAGTCGGAGGATTATTAACAAAACTTGATTGTATAGTGTGGTTTCATTAGACCAAATCCACCGTCATCAAGAGTATGGTCCGTGTTCTGGAACAGCGGGATTCTATCCCGCTGCAGCTACGCCATCACTACCATTGTTTTGGGTGAACTATTAACCCAAGAAAAGGGCCGTTTCGCATCACTCCTACGCTATTAATTAGGGGCCGTTGATGAAGGGCTAGGGAGACTCCCGGTGTTTCTCCGAGTAGATGGTAGATGGGTTTCATTTTGCAAGAGATCCTTCGATCTATATTGAGTGAGAAGACTATCTGAACGCTAATGTGCGAAGTGAGACAGCTTATTGTTTCTAGGAGAGATCAGCCTCGGTTCTGGAAGAAATGGGTTCTCACAATGTTTAATGCCCGTTTGATTGTTCTAGACAGTAATTGCGCTAAAAAATTAAAAACGGGACGGAAGTATGTCGCTGTCCGTTCTTCCAAGCCATTGATTCATTCATACTACGCTATGATACTGGATTTTAAATAAAGAGTTGGCCAGACCCTTCGGAAAATACAACCCAAGCTGAAGGCCTAGTTCTGTGGTAGCTGAATCCCCCCCTGCCCACTAAGCACCCAAGTCCTACCTCCAGCCGAGCCGAACGAACATCCCCAGTGTAAGCGCTGCGCCAGGCTTACTAGTATAGCGTGGACTTCTTTCGGCGCACTAGAACGTTCAAGGTTAATAACCCGGCCCTATGGGAGTTTCAGCGTCATCAGCTAAAATACTGAGAACTATCTCAAGTTTGTAACCATATCACAACTTGTGAATAATCACCATGAATAATGGGAATGTAAAAGTCAGTGGCATTGTTTGGTTAGTCTAACAGAGAACAAAGAAAGTCAAGCCCACGGTCGGATGGATTCGTGGCGCGATTTCCACAATCGGAGGGTCTCCACTCTTCAGGGCTTGGCAACAGCAGGCTGTGGTTACATGGGGTTTTTCTCAGTGGCATTAAGCAGACGGGGCTATGAGTGAGCTACTTCCACATCGAGGAACCTTACAATGAAGAATACCCCCGAAGGTACCGCTGCAGAATTTTCCGACTATATTTGACCGTATATAGATAGATAAGAGATATCAATATGTCACAAGGAGCAGAAGCAGTCTGGAAGCGTTTATCGAGATCGAAATGTTCTAGTCGTTGTATCTTATCAGGGCTCCTTATTAGACGTAAGTGAACAACCATGAGTAGTAGATAAGGCATTCTGTTCCACCACCCAATATGCCTGAACTTCGGTGTGAAATCATCCACCTCTCTTACAATACACTCGACTGTCACTCAGATACGCCCATCTGCTGTCTTCAGTACTATACATATAACAATGTACATGATCTCCAACTCCAAGACCTCTAAGAAGCACAGATGAAGTCGGATACCCCATTGTGGGGAAAAGACCTGTTCATCTGCCATCCGGACTCCATTCCATCCAAATTATGATCGCACACCTAAAATCAACCTCAACCACGAGGGGATCAGTGGATTGCGGATGAAGGTATATCTGCTACAGCTCCCCCTTTGGGAATGGTGTCTCTCCGCGTGCTGCTGCTCTTAGTGACCGGCGGGAGCCAGTCAGAAGCCCTTCCCGACCCGCTCCCGTCCAGGTTGGCCACCACCAGCCAGTCTCTTCAGGCAATGATTGGAGTGTTTCCCTCTGAGGGTTCCAAAATGCTCCACCGGTTGGAGAACCACCGGGTCTTTAGGTCGGTCTCATACTGTCTACTCCCTGCTGTATAGTGAGAGAGAGGAGGGTGCCCTGCCTGGGTCCTGCCTGTCTTTCCCCAATCGACTATAAACGGGGACTCATCCCAGTGCTGCTCACTTCCCTGATCTTCATACTCACTTTTCTTCACGGTCATACGGTCATCGAAGGAGCAATGTCTGGGCCTACGTTCTCCTGAATTGATTATTCGAGGCTGCCATTTAATTCGATACCCGCAAACTTCAGTCATTCCTTCGTCGATCTCTATACACCATTGCTTCCGTCGCCTGGATTCGTTTACTTCAAGCACAAGAGCAGTCTTTCGCTGATTAATTCGGAAACAACCTCTCATTTGTACGCCTCTATCGACATATACGTCTTGCCGTCTCGTCTCTTCGTCTCCAGATCCAGTTACTATCTTCTGCGTATCCGGCCCGTCCATCGAAATGGCCGCCGAGAAGGAAGTAGAGAAAGTGGGAACAGCCGAGGCTGGGGATGATTCGACTTCGATTGAAGTGGTCAACGCCTCAGGTCATCGTCAGGAAGTCGAACGGAACTTCAGTCTACTGAGTATTTGCGCTGTCGCTGTTACGACTGGAAATACATGGATTGCTCAAGGTGGCAGTGTGGTATGCTAAGCTAGCCTCGACGCTTTATATACTTATGGTAGAGTAAATCAACTGACAGTATCTTCTTAGACAACTGCACTGAGCAATGGAGGACCATCAGGTGTGATTTACGAATTGTATGACGCCACTCAACCCTAGAGGAAGGCCCAAGCCGTCACTAATCGTGATTCTAGTATTGCTGTTTCAGTTTGCTACTGGCTTGTTGCAGCATCGATTGCTGAACTGGCATCTGGAATGCCTTCTGCTAGTGGAGGTATGCTCTTCTACAAACACTGGTCATGATATTGTTAGGTTGCTGACAGAACTACCAGTCTATCACTGGGCTTCGATCACAGCGGGAAGATACGGTCGTGTTTGCGGTTTCTTCGCTGGCTTTTGGAACTCCCTTGCCTGGATTCTCGGTGCTGCCTCCATGTCCGCTATCCTAGGGCAGCAGACTGTCTCTATGTATGCCCTCATGCATCCTGGCTTCGTCCCTCAGGCATGGCATATCTTTGTCAGCTTCATCATCTGCACGTGGCTTTGCTGCTGCATCGTCCTTTTCATGAACCGGTTCCTCCCACATATTGGCAATCTTGGCATGTTCTTCATCTTGGCTGGTGTGTTGATCACCATCATCGTGTGTGCGGTTATGCCCCATGTTAAGGGCTCAGGCTATGCCACAAGCAAGGATGTCTGGAGTAGTTGGGAAAACGACACCGGTTATTCTAGCCAGGGCTTCGTTTTTGTTGCCGGTATGCTCAATGGAGCATACAGTGTGGGCACTCCTGATTGCTCGTCACACCTCGCGGAGGAAATTCCTAAGTAACTTTCCCATCATGACGATAATATCTTTGGTATACTAATGATGAACAGGCCAAGCCGTAACATTCCCAAAGCTGTTCTGGCTCAGATGGGCGTCGGCTTTATCACCGGAATCTTCTACATGATGGCCATTTTCTATTCAATCACAGATCTCGACGCAGTCATCAATAGCGTCTACGGATTCCCCCTTGCCGAAATTTACCGTCAAGCAACAGGGTCCAGGGGCGGTGCAATCGGTCTGCTTATCGTGGCTTTCATACCCACCGTCATTACATGCGCTGGTTGTTACATCACCGCTGGTCGCACTTTGTGGACTATCTCTCGTGACGGAGCAACTCCTTTCTCTCGCTGGCTCGGACATATCAACACACGGATGCACAACCCTTTCAATGCTACCCTGGTATGCGGTGGCATTGTCACTATTCTTGCTTGCATCTACGTCGGATCCACCACTGCCTTTAACGCTTTCGTTGGCTGTTTCGTGCAGCTGTCCAGTCTCTCGTATTTCGCCGCCATCTTTCCGCATATGCTTACTCGCCGGTCCTCGTTCGCACCTGGTCATTTCTGGATGGGCCGTATCGGATATCTTGTCAACCTCTTGGCATGCATCTACATTCTTGCCTTTGTTGTGATCTTCTGTTTCCCTTACGCCCTGCCCACCGATGCCGCTTCGATGAACTACGCCAGTCTGATGACTGGAGGCTTGACGATCTTCGTGTCTATCTGGTGGCTTTTCCGCATGAACACCTATGAGGGGCCCAAGTCTATTCCTATGACCGACAAGGTGATTGTGGCTGACGCGGACTAAGCGTTGTTAGATAGAATGTTTTGGTTTTTGAACATAATGCGCATAAGACCGAGCAATGTTGCTGGTCTATCACTAAATACTGTGCTCTATTTGACGCGAATATATCTAGAATAATATTTATGAGCTGTATATAATCTTGACGCTGATTCGGTTCGACTGCATTGCGTTGACCTCCGTAGGTGGAAAAACACTGTGCTCAGCAACCAAAGATTATGCGAGAAGCTTTCCAAAGCTTCTATAGAAGACTGAATCCACTGTAGAGAGTGAAAATGCTATAACATATAGACTCTACAAGGCACGGCATGCCTTACTGCCGCAATAGGCAATAAGCACTGTATCATCACGTGATGTCGCGACACCCGCGCGTCTCGAGCCTGTCGCGTGCAGCAGAAAAGACTCATCAACTCCACGGTGCAGCTGTCCAGCAAAAAGCATCAGGAACCATCAATCGTGATGGTTTTCAAGCCCTTCAAGCCTCCTTCTATGAGGAAGCCCCTTCAGCCTACCGTTTCAAGACCAGCTGTGCCAACTGAAACTTCCGAGGCCGACGGCCCTCCCGCTAAGAAGCCGCGTTTACAGCCAGAATATCCGGCAGATGTTGAGAACACCACTCCGGCCGCTGGACGACCGGTGAAGCCTGTAACTCAACTTGAGAAGGGTGTGGAACCCTCAGCGGAATCAGGAAGCCCTGGTGATGCCACCGGAGATAGGTATTTCAATGTCCTATGGTACGTGCAGTCTATCTTGTTCTATTCGATCCTAAGATGATAGCTATCAAGGCTAACGAGCTGCGAAGGCGCAAAGTCACTACGAAGAAGAATAAAACGTGGGACGGTGACGGGGTCCTGACGATACGCGATGGCTACGCCTACTTGCAGGATGTTTCCGGAAGAGACATGGGACGGGTGATGTATGGCTCCCGCCTCGAACCTGGTGTAATGCTATCTATTGGAGGCAAGGAAGTGGAAATTGATTCGGAAATGTCAAAGAAAGAGTACCTGTCTGGTCGTCAGTATCTGCAAACGAAGAAAGCTCCACCTCCGACAACACCGCCTACCAAAGCGTTCGTTCCTGTTCGAAGCAGTACTGGTACTTCTGCTTCGACGACTGTTGCTAAGAGCCAACCCGCAAAGCCTAATGTACCAACGCTCGCCAACCCTGCTTCGAGGAAAGGAACGGTCACTGGCACGTACAAAAGGCCGTTATTGGACAGCACTGTTTTGCCACCCACACCGTTGGAGAAGCCCGTTCCACGCCATGATCCTAGTCAGCCCGGAGCGCTGGTCATGAAACGACCGGATTCGGTGCCAAAGGGTAAACAAATTGTTGATGTTGTCGTTGATCCGTTTCTGGCTAAACATTTGCGACCTCATCAACGCGAGGGTGTTCAGTTCTTGTATGAATGTGTTATGGGAATGAGATCCTTCAACGGTGAAGGGGCTATTCTAGCAGATGATATGGGATTGGGGAAGACCTTGCAAACCATAACCCTCTTGTGGACACTTCTGAAGCAGAACCCAGTATACGATAGTCCTCCGGTTGTTAAGAAAGCTCTTATTGTTTGTCCGGTCACTCTAATCAATAATTGGAGGAAGGAATTTCGCAAGTGGCTTGGAAATGAACGAATTGGAGTTTTTGTGTTCGATGACAAGAGGAAACGACTCACTGATTTTACGAGAGGAAGGGCTTACAGTGTGATGATTGTGGGATATGAGAAGCTCAGATCGGTGCAAGAAGGGTTAGCCAACAGCAACGGGGTCGACATCATTGTTGCCGATGAAGGTCACAGACTGAAGACGCTTCAGAACAAGAGTGGCCAAGCTATCCAGTCCCTGAATGCGACAAAGCGAATCATTTTATCCGGTACACCTATTCAGAATGATTTGAAGGAGTTCTTTGCCGCGGTAGACCTTGTCAACCCCGGCGTCTTGGGAACTTTCAAGTCGTTTATTAGGGAATTCGAGGGCCCGATCGTCAAGAGCCGACAGCCCGAGGCGACTAGGAAGGACATAGAGAAGGGAGAGGCGAGGAATGAGGAGCTACGAGAGCTCACCTCTAAATTCATGCTGCGAAGAACAGCCGATATCCTGGCTAAATATCTCCCTCCGAAGACGGAGTATGTGCTATTTTGCAAGGCGACGCGCACGCAAGCGACCATCTACCAGAACGTCCTCGCCTCCCCAGTCTTTCAAAGCGCCCTCGGAAACTCGGAGAGTGCTCTCCAACTTATCACTATCCTCAAAAAGCTCTGCAATAGCCCATCTCTGCTTACGCCCAGAGATGTGAATGAGAAGCCCAGCGAGACCATCGCCGCTCTCTTATCTTCTTTACCACCGAGCCTCCTACGTCACTTCACCCCTTCATCAAGTGCCAAACTCCGTGTCCTGGATCAGCTACTCGATGGTCTACGCACAAAGACCTCGGAGAAAATAGTCCTTGTCTCCAACTACACTTCTACCTTGAACCTACTAGCAAACCTACTTACATCTCTCTCCCTCCCCTTTCTCCGCCTAGATGGCTCCACCCCCGCACAGAAACGACAATCACTAGTGGAGGACTTCAACCGCCTCCCACCGAATCTCTGCTTCGCCTTCCTCCTGTCCGCAAAAGCTGGAGGTACCGGGCTCAACCTCATAGGTGCCAGCCGACTCGTCTTGTTCGATGTGGACTGGAATCCCGCCACTGATATCCAAGCCATGGCACGTATTCATCGTGATGGCCAAAAGCGTCATTGTCGGATATACCGCATCCTCCTCAAGGGCAGCCTCGAAGAGAAGATCTGGCAGCGTCAAGTAACCAAAATCGGGCTTGCCGACAGCGTTATGGAGAAGAGGGACAGCGTGGCCCAGTTTTCGCGGGACGAGCTCAAAGACCTGTTCCGTCTGGACGAAGAAAGCAAGTGCCAAACACATGAACTATTAGGCTGTGACTGTGGCGGTAATGGGCAGATTGTCCTACCAACAGCGACTGAGAACGAAGACGAGGAAGACGACCACTCATCCTCAAGCTCCCTCCAAGACTTCCCCGATCTCCCTACCCTAATCAAAGCATCCCAAGTAGACATGGAGAAGCAAGAGCGCCTAATCCGATCCAGATCCAGATCTCGACCCACAACTCGCAGGTCGAGGGCGGGGAGGTCCAAAAATGAGGATGACAATGAGGACGAAGATGAAGACGACAACAACACCGAACCCGCGAACCAACAAAAGAACCGAATCCAGCAATCCCTATCACAATACTGTCACATCGACCCCGTCCATCTCACTGCCACGGTTACAGATACCGCCGAACAAGTCGAATCAACCATCGACGACGATGTGCTTCTTTCTTTGCTCAAAGACGAGGACAGTAATAGAATCGGATATGTCTTTAAAAAGGCGAGCACAGCAGCAGCAG